TGTGTATGTGTGTGTGTGGTGGTGGTGGTGGTGGTGGGGTGTGTAGTTTGGTTATATTTGTGAGTGATTGTGGGAGGTATTTCTGAGATGTGTACTGTTGAGCGTGAGGCGTGCTGATGAGCTTGTTGACATGCTGAGGGAATTAGGTGAGTGATTGTAGTGAGATGTGTGGTTTTCGTTCGAGCTGTTCGAGCTGGATTGATTGATGATGTATAGTGTGTTGTTCAGCTTGGAGACGGTGTGTGTGGTGATAGTGTAAGTGTGCGTGTAGAACGTTAATGAGTAAATTAGTTTAGTGTTGAATTTGTGTGGTTTGATGTGGGGTTACGGTTTGTGGTAATCTCTGAGTAATGAGAATTCTGTTCATACTTTGTTGTAATGTGTGTTGATGGTTTGACGGTATTGGTGTGTGTGTTTTTGTGAGAGTTTATATTTGAATGAAGTGAAGTATTTCAGTAAATTTTGTTAGCACCGTTGTGGTTTAGTGTCTGAGAAGTGATGTGTTCTCACTGGAGCTAGGAATGCATTGTGAGGGTTAATAATGAGTGTTTGGAGGATGTATGCACTTGAGTGTGTGTTGGTAATTGTGAGATTTTGTGGGAAGGTGGGTGGATGAGTGAATTGATAAGGCGGGGCAGCGATATACTGGTGTTCGTGAAAGTTTGTCTTTATTTACAAACAAACCAATAAGTAATATTGGTGATGTGATTGCGATTAGTGTAGTTAGAGTTTCGATTGTTAAATGAGGTGTGGATGTTTACATGTTTGTCAGTGTATCGGATGGTGTTGTTGTTGGTGTTTGAGTAAGAACCCTTGTTGATCCGTCCTGGAGATGTCTAGTTTTCAGGAAGCCAACGACGAAGGGGAAATGTTTTCTGGTCTCTTCGGTGAACCAGGATTGTACTGGTTCTTACTTAGCACCAGGTAGACGTGTTTAGTGTGAGTGTGACGAATGATGTCTAGTATTGGTTTGTGTTGGGACGTGTGTTGAACTGTGTTGATTGTTTACAGCTTAGGGATGACTTGTACTGTGATGTTGGTCGTATGTCTGTTGATGATCAGGTGGTTGTGTGTGTGTGTGTGTGTGGTGTAATTGTAGTTATTGATCTGTTTGCCTGTTTGTGTCTGTATGGTAGGGAATAGTGTTGTTGGTTTTGTTGATTTTGAATATGGTTGGACTGGGATCATTGGGTTGGGGTGTTTGTTTGTTAGTGTAGTTGACGACCCATTTATTCTGTGTTTGTAACTTTCAGTGTTTCACTTTGTTTGTCAATGGTATTGATTATTCTATTGGCGTGTTTGTGTGTATGTGTGTGTGTGGTGATGGTGGTGGGGTGTGTAGTTTGGTTATATTTGTGAGTGATTGTGGGAGGTATTTCTGAGATGTGTACTGTTGAGCGTGAGGCGTGCTGATGAGCTTGTTGACATGCTGAGGGAATTAGGTGAGTGATTGTAGTGAGATGTGTGGTTTTCGTTCGAGCTGTTCGAGCTGGATTGATTGATGATGTATAGTGTGTTGTTCAGCTTGCTTGTATTTTGTGTTAATGTTCGTTGATATCTCTTTTGTTTGAATTTTCTTTTTATTCGTTTTCTTCTTAGTTTTTCGGGCGATACCTTATCTTTACTTATGAATTTATAATGTCGTGTTTTTCGTAGTTATTGCGATCTTAATTTGATCATGAATTTTTAAGAGTTTTCATTCTCTCAAAAAATTTTTACATAATGGTAGGATGACCCTAATTTTGTTTATTTCCTACTGATAGAGAATAGGGGAGTGAAATCTGAGAACTCGGTTTGTGCATAAGTTTTGGTTTGTAAAATACGTTTCATAGTATTCAATGTGTCGAGTTATTTCGGCGTTACCTTTGTTTATTTTTCAAGACAAGGTAGCTAGACTGCTTTTAAAGAGAATCTAATCAGGCCGATAAAAATGGTTTTTAATCTCTCAGTGAATGGCGCCTCATACTAAAGAATGGACGTAAACTAAATGGATCAGCGTTTTTTACCTGTTACATTGGGTCTACTACACAAACTACGGAGTTTACTCAACAAGCTGTCGGAGCTAGGTATATATATGGACTCTAGCGATATGGATGTAATCGCCATCACAGAGACTTTGCTGACCCAACCTACAGGGATCATAATATTGGACCCTCATGTTAGTTGGTGCCATAGAACCCATTAGCGTAAAGGAGGAGTAGCACTGTTCATTAGAAGTGCTATATATTTTTTTACCGTTATCGATAACAAATCCCATGGAAATGAAACGTGCGAATTAGTTAGTTGCCGCTTGAAATTCAAAGGACACGAGCTGCTGATTATTTTAGTCAACCAAAGTTAGAACTGTGAGTTGAAAGAGGTCTTGCTAGACGATTTCGATGCTTAATCACCAAGTTGTTGATGTTTTATATTAAGAGACTTTAATGCAGCCACTATAGATCGGAAAAATCTGAGGACGGAGTTGTCGAAGAATTGTTTCAAACAAGAACTAGTTGATGAGGTCATTACATATGCCCTAGTGCAACATATGAAATAAGCAGCTAGATACGACAAAGACTCTGAATCATCCTCAATAGATCTCACATTGACGCACCATGAGGACGGCGTCAAAAACGTCCCTTACGTGTTATCCTAGGTTAAGGGTGATTGTGGTCCTAATCCTTCACATTCTTGTTATTGTCAACAACTGTTTATCAGCCCAAGCCAGACCAAACGACTTGAAGGCAAATATAGAGGAAGCTATGTGTTCATTACCGTTAGCGGATTGGACAGTAGAATCAGGATTCCCACTGAAACATCTTGCGATGTATTCGGAAATTTGCACACAAAATGAACTACACTGCACATCCTTTGGACTACACCAAGGAGTCCGAAAAACTCCTTTCCGTGGTTCATTAAGGAGTTTTGCACCCTCATCTGTAAGAGGAGGAGAATGTAGGACAGACGGGACAAAATCTTCACATCGGAAAGCTCAAAATATTTGTGTCTCAACCTTCCGCAAGTGTAGAAGATCGTATAAAGAAAAGTTTGTTAAGGAGTCTATAGAATACCCTAAAATCTTCTACTCGTACATAAACCGAAGAACTAAGAGAAGAGCCATTGTCTCAGAATTATGCGTAGGCAGTAGTACCGTAGAGGTGCCCTGCCACTCCATACACACACACACACACACTGGATACTGTAATCACTAAAGAACTCGATATTTTTGGTCTGCTAAATAACACTGGTATAGATAAATCCATGGGAACCGATGAATGTATTCTAGGTTACTAAAGGCGTCGATAAATTCTGCCGCAAACCCCTTAAGCATATGTATTAATCTGTCTGTAACCAAGGGTGAATTACCAAAAGACCAAAATAACGCCTGGCAAGTCTTATCTCTATAGCAAATACGAGGCGTAAACCTGAGAACTATCTACACGTAGGCCTAAATAGGGTGGTTATTAAAAATTTAGAAAAGCGGGTTTGGAAGTTGTTTAAGTATCTAGAAGAATACCGTATTCCTAATGAAAAGCAACAGGGCTTAAGAAAATGTTATTCACGTCTCACAAACTTATTAGTGGCCCGTGAAATTTGGTGCGCTCTTAAACATCAAAAGTTACCTGTAGATGTAGCCTTCGTTGACTTGAGCAAGGCTTTTGACAAAGTTCCTCAAAACAAACCGCTATATAGGTCAAGTAATATCGGGATTAGAGGCTATTTATTAACGTGGATAAAAGATTTTGTAGTTATAAGTCAACAAAGAGTGCGGTTGAATTCAAATTTATCTATTTGGAAAACTGTGCTTATCGGAGTGTCTCAGGGTAGAGCTTTGGAGCCAGCGTTGGTTCCATTGAGTGTAATTAATCTCCCTAGTCTTCTATAATCGATTTTTCTATGTGCTAACGAAGTCAAGATATGGAGGGCTATAAGAAGTAAAGGTGATAGTTCGGAGCTTGAAAATGACCTGGAGAAATTATCTGGGTGGTCTAGAACTTGACAGTTCCCGATGAATGCTTCCAAGTACATTATGATGCATACCGATCGCCGAGGTACAGATACACACGCGGTGAATAACGGTGAGCTACCCGTTTTCTTGAAACACAAAGACTTGAGACTCATTGTTAGTCAAAATTAAAAAAAATACTAAACGTTGCCGTGCGATAGTCGTCAAAGGTTTCAGAACCCTTTGATCAATACGGACAGCTTTTATCCATTTATATGCAATAACAGCTTCGACTTTGTTTACAGTATTTGCTCATCCTATAGTGGAGCATTGCACACAATCGGCTAGCTCCTGTCCAAAAAAAAGACGGTTGGCTGTTGGGAAAGAATCGGAGATCCGCAACTAAGCTGATTACCAGAATCGCAAAACTCTCGTATGATGATCGACTGGGCAAGCTAAACCTATTTCCACTATTACTATAGAGCAACTAGCGGTGACTTGGTCACAGTTTAGATCATTAACATAGATGACCTGTGTCTAATGATTGGAGGCCCACTTAAGTTAGACGTGAATGATGTGACAAATAGCTAACTTTGGAATAGCACTTCGCGGTCAGCACCTAACGTGGATTACCCTTTCGTCGTATCAAGGTACTGTGGCTGCTTTGAAAACGGTATAAAACAAGGGACATTATTACATAGATATATTGGTAAGAGTACGTAGAAGAGAGAGAGAGAGTAAGACCATCATCACATTGGACAGTCTATGGCGTTCGACTGATTGATGCGCATTAGCTGCCTTTGAACTTGACGAGGATTGGTGAACTGTTCGACATTCAGTCACTCAACTGACGATTGATTTGACTAGGGCCTAGTGACATTTCACTAGTCATACAGCAACTTTAAATTAATTAATAATAAGTCTGCATCGGATATGCCCTCAGTCTTCTTATTTTCCAAAACAGGGAATTCACGAGTATATTCTAAAAATGTCCACAAGCCCGGAACACATTACTTGTCATTTGACTATCGACTCGTCAACGCAAAGAACTCATTTGGTTGAAGCTCCATCAGTGGACGCTTCAAAAAATATGTTGGGTTAGCTGAGAGAGCATCAGCGCCCAAGACTCGCACAGGTCACCCAATTTCATGTCCTTTCGAGTCTGAAACTATTAATTAGGCCTTTCAAGGTCGTGAAAGAAAACGCGGTTGTCTTTGAAAGTGGTTTGGTGTCAACCCATTTTTTGCAAAGCCATACCAAGATGAAAGCTGTTTGTGTTATGACTGGTACAGCTGGCGTAAAAGGCGTTGTCAAATTTACTCAGGAAGTAAGTTAGTTGCAAGCCGTTACTTAGCTGAAATGTTTATTTTACTACTGGCCATTTCAGGAATGATCACTTTCTAATGAGAAATTGTTGTATTTACGTCAATTTCTGTGTTTTCAGCACTGAAATAAGTGATTGTCGGGAAGCAGATATGGTTAATATTGCTTAGAACTTCTGGACCGTGAGCTTCAGGACAGTTCTTACAAAAGACAAAACATGTCACTATTTTGCCGTGAAAAACAAAAATGTCAACCTCCAGATGCCATGCCACACAAATTCACACTGGATTTCTTTTAATGTGTTACATACGCTCACCCCAAGCTTCTATTTCTCCGTTTTTTCGTAAATACTGCATAGTACTATCCATTGGGTGATTTTTCAATACTTGTGAAGGAATATGTAAAAGTGTTGATTGTTTGGTTGAATGGTAATAGCGTTCTCGTTTCTATCTAAAGCAGAGGACCTTCAAGCATCGAGACTCTTGTTCCAGGGTTATAGTCAAACCAACTCGACCGTCTCATAACTGACAGAATCCTTACTGTAGATCATTCAGTGAGCGATTTTCATGAGGAAATAATTGTTGAGTATTTCTGAATCATTAAAAGTCTTTGATAAACCATGTGTTGTAACTGCAGAGCATCAGTGACACTGGAAATATACGTGACGGGTTAGTATTCTATTGTCACTTATCTTACTAACAGATTTGCAACCCGACTTTTAAGCACTTAATCTTGTTACTAATGCACTGGATAGTTAGCAGTTCTGTACTTAGTATTGCAGCGCCGGTAAGTGCCACTTATGTTACGACAGTACAGTAGTATAACGAATAGATAGTATGAAAAAGTACTGAAAAGTAATTTAAACTGTAGTAAGTTCATGGGGTTTGATATCGGGATTCCAAAAAGTAGAAGACTTTTATTTCTGCAGTTAGAGAATAGGTTTATTCAGGTACCACTATATGTACTAAGGCCTGGTAAGCTTACAGATGCCTTGAAATTAAGGGATACCAACATTCAGTTGTCTGTCCATCACATCTCGTAAATCTCCTGAATAAAGCTCATATTAGCAACATAAATAAAGCTTGGGGGTGTTTGGAAAACTACTGCACTAAAATACAATAGATAAAATTATTTTCTATTATGTTGGTAAATTTCTTTATCAAAATACCGTGATTTCAAGAGAGATTGACTTGTGAATATGGAGTTCATTAGTGATTTATAAATTGCACATGCTTGTTAATTTATTTTTACTTAACCATTCTTACACAATCTGTATTATAGTTAACCAAGAATCAGTCTTCATTCCTCCGGGTCATTTAAAAGTTGCTTAAACTTTCGAGTGCTATTTAAGTGAATCGTAATTAAATAGTAATAGATTTTGTTCTGGGAGTAATATGATATCTAGTTATTTCCTCTCACCAATTTGGCAAGCCTATGACGTAACAACGATACATCAAAAGTATTATAAAGAAATGAAAGTATAGTTATGATCATATGAGTTGTTGGGCTGTTGGGTTTGATATTCACCGTCATTACATCTATTTCAAGTTCTTTAACACTCATAACTTGTATATCTAAGTCATTAAGGTTGTGATGTACAAACCTTCCTGTTCATTAAAATCTGAAGCTACATATACTAACCTACTTTGCTTTTATCAGCCTTGAAGTGTTCAACCAGAGGATACTCAACCATTTTCTTCATATAACTTCCATTTTTTACTAATACCAAGGTTTCCCACTGTATAGACCTGGTCAGTTTTAGTTCATCGGGTTTTTCACAAAACTGATTTTGATGTTCAAGATTATTGTGACTTATTTACTGGTGTTAGTACTGATTTAAAGATACAGAGATACGTTTTTGATGTAATCTTGTTGATTAAAGGGTTATTGTCTTGTGATTTTTCGATAAACCAAACTTTTATGGGGCTTACATTTAAAGTTAGTAGTCGTCATAGACCATCTTAAATTTTTTCCACTAATTGTTTTGAAGAGAATAGTAAAATTGATTTGGTATAATAACTTATGGAAAATGTTTTGTCCGTACTTGGAGTTTATTATATCGTCTTACATTTTTGAAAGATTTACTGCCAAACATTTCTTTTACACTTTCAGACTGACAATGGACCTGTTAATGTGCACGCCGAATTTAGTGGACTCAAGGCTGGTAAACATGGCTTTCATGTTCATGAATTTGGTGATACAACAAATGGATGTATTTCAGCTGGAGCTCATTTCAATCCAACTAAACAAGAGCATGGAGCACCAGAAGATAGCATTCGTCATGTTGGTGACCTGGGAAATGTTGTGGCGGGTGTTGATGGAAACGCAGTTTATAACGCGACTGACAAATTGATATCTTTGAACGGCTCTCATTCAATAATTGGTCGAACTATGGTCGTAAGTATTGGTATTCAGTGTCGTAGTTATTTTATACTATTGGTTTTAATTCCTCAACACTGAACAGCTAGTAAGGTTGGTCAAGAAATTCCAATTCTCATATAAATAGGAAATGTCTCGATCTATTCCAGTCGTTAGATTTACTCGATGTAGATGAATTGATTTGTAGGGAAGTCTCATCATCATCGTGTTAACTGCTATTTGGAAGGAATATTTTTATTGTGAACAATGGAACTTATTATAAAATTACATCGTTTATACTCAGCAGAATAGTTGCGGTTAAGCCGTTTAGCTTTCAGACACGAATTTCCAAGTTCTCTAAAGACGCCTTGAGATATCAAGTTTAATGAGTGACCGGGACTGCAGTTCACGAGCAAATATTTAACCCTTAAGTCGATCTTGGTTTAGCGACCCAAGATTAGAATGTTCACATGCGCAATTCATGATGCCGGCATATGTGAGGAAATCATCATTCCACTCCTCAGATGAATTTATGAAACTAATGAACGCTGCCAAATGACTACCGCTTTCTAAAAATTGATATCTAGATATTTTCAGCAAAATGAACTTCGTATACGTAGCTTGTTTACTTATCCCCAAATTTTTATGATGAATTAAAGCTCTTATACCACTGTTTAGACCAGTTAATCCAATTATAAACGAGTCTTCAAATCTACTGCAGTCAGTCAGCTACAAAGTAAGATCAGGCACATATGTGCATCGATCCACGTTGACATACCTCATTAGCACAGCAAGATGAACACCGAATTCATAGGAGTGGTTAAGTCAATGGTGGTAATATATAAAAGAAAGATTGCATATAAGGATATAGTACAGGAAGAAACAATTAGTTCGTAGAAAGAAAGATAGGAAGTGATTTTAATCTCATATTTTAAGGGAAGACAGACAGTGTATACACCTATGCCATTGTGATCAATTCTGAGCCATGTCACCAAGAGTCTCCAACCATTGGTTACGATAATCACGCGGACCCCAACCAAGTAGTCTGGATCTACCAACATGGCTCAGACTAGAAGTTAATAATTTCAATGACTGATGCCACGTTTTGATTTGGCCGTCCCTAACTTCCAGCCGTCTCCAACAATAGTCAGCATTGAGCGTCTTGGTAGTCGGTGTTCAGGCATACGTAGCACGTGGCCAAATCATATTAGTCGATGAAGATTTATAACCTCATCGACTGATTTAACATCATTACCTAATATCCTGTGTCTAACCTCACTATTACTTACCCGGTAATCCCCGCAGATGTGAGCTATATTTCTAAGACATCTGTGATCAAATACTAGTAACTTACGAGTATCTTCTACTCTTAATGGCCACGCTTCGCAGCTGTGAAGTAAAACAGAACGAACTGCTGCACATTATATTCATCCCTTAATTGATAGACGGATATCTCGCCTTCGTCATAGGTGACGTAAGTTGACAAAAGTCAAACGACCTTTTTGAATCCATGCAGTGATTTGGTCAAAAACCAAACCATTATGATCAGACTTCAAAGATAAATGAAGTTATCGACGTGTTCGACTACTTCATTCCCTATCCTTAGTTCATATCTGCTGCATCAAACGTTGAAGGTGATCCAAGTTTCGGGATAAAAAATAACACCAACTACTTATATCAACAGTATCAGCTCTATTTGGAGAATCATTCACTAATGACAGAAAGTTTGGTGCCTGTCGTTTCAAATAGTGGCAACTGTGTGCTTTCAAAGTGTTTCTGTTGAGGTGTCGATGACTTGACTTCATCGATTCAGAATGACATGCTCCAAATTATCCCCGTCTCTACTTGTTATAACCGCAATAAACAGCTACTTAAAACAGGAAAACACTGAAGTTTATACGATGCCATGATGACTACAAAGGCTAACAGCAAATGAAAATTCTATTCACCCTTCACAAATGTGATAACCACTCTAACCAAAATACACTCATTTATGTATAAATTTGACTGGCGTCTGTATGTGGAAATGTCATTTTATTAGAAAAATCCTATTCCGATTGGCAGCCGTTATATCTTCTGATATTAGTTCTTTGGACACTTGTGTCAGTAATTTGATTTCATTAATGGTTATCACTTGGCCGTATTGTATCAGCGCATATCATCTATCGATGAAAATTGCATTCACTCATCTAAATAGTGAGTAAAATCACTTAACATGCTACCACTTAACTGGTATATTTTACTATTATTGTTAAGTTTATACATATTACTGCTCGAATAAATAAACTCATTCACCAGGTAATTGGGTGTGGGCCACACTAGTTGTGAGGGCTAATGGTACCTCTTGCTATCCCAAGTAATTGAGGCGGGGTTCGAACGCGGGACTTTGTGGTTGTTGGAGATGGCTAGATCCCCAGAACTTACTTGATAAGTGTCTCATTTTTGTAATTTTATTTTGGAAATTTCAATTTCTTGTTTTCACGCCAAAAGCACCCATTTTCACCTTTATATCGTATTTCCCAGTTGGGAGGACCTTAAATGTCATTGGTTCGTTGTCTCTCTCAATATGTTATTTTGTAACGTTTCCCAAAGACATTTTTATGCTGTATATATACGCTTGAGTTGTGCCTGTTTTTGTTCGTGCTTCTGGCTGCTTATGGAATCCATTTTCGCTCTTCTGAGCCTGAACTTCTCTCTCTAGTTAGCGGGACTGGGACTCATCGGAATAGTTAGCTTATTTGGTCATTGTATCTCTGAGTCTTCGTTCCGTCCTCAGATTTAGGTGAACTCTTAATCTCTTCAAACATAGCGGTGATCGAAACTAGAATGTCTTAACCACTAAACAACTGCTCATCTTAGTGTAGAGCCATGTTAGGAAACTAATTGTGAAGAGATGTTTCACTCTATTCGTTTGTTACTACATATCGAAATTTAAGTTTTCGCTTTTCTGAAATTCTTAACTTATTCAAATCATAATAATTTGACCCATGGCCTCAATGGCGCAGGTGTATCCACTCTTTGTGTTCTCCCAAATTCTAATTTTCTGAGTCCTTCATGTCCTGTTTTTCTCTTTACAAATTTATTTCACTGGATTATACTCTTTAAATAACATCTTCAAACCCTAATCTTTCCGATTACTGCTTATACTCTTACTACCTTTACCACTACGGGATTTGAATCGACAACTGCATCTCTGTGCTAATGTGGTATGGCAAGTCGAACTGATGTACGTACGTACGAAGTTGTTACTGACTGATTGACCATGACCTCATTAGGTTTCTCAACAAAAAACGTTTTGTAGGCTATCATGTCAGTGAATTTCCAACTGTAATATGAGGAATATTATCGATGGTTCCATTTTATCCATTGCTGAAGTAGTCTAATTTTTAAACATAACTATTCTCCATCTACAAAATTTTAAACAGATAATTAGTAATATTTTTAACTCTTATTACTCTAGACCGAATACAAGTGATTGTTAAACTTATTTGTTCATTTCTATGTTATTGGGTACTTCAATACCATAGAATGCTATAAGTTGAAATCTCTTTTATAATTCATTGGTATTTATGTAAGTATTTTGTATCTTTAATTTAGATTCATGAAAATGAAGATGATTTAGGCCGTGGTGGACATGAGCTCAGTAAAGTAACTGGTAATGCTGGTGGCCGTCTAGCTTGTGGCGTTATCGGTTTAGCTGCTGAGTAGAGTTGTAGATTTATGTTTTTACATTTTTAACGCCTATTCTTCCTGTGAAACAGTATGGTCATTATTGTCAAGAAAGGAAATTTTGTGTTCTAAATGATTGAAAAATAAAGTCATTAAATATAATTGATTTATTCTTTCTGTATCTACTGGACACGATTTTTCTAACGGAGTTGTCAGTCAGTCAGCTACAAAGTAAGACCAGGCACATATGTGCATTGGTCCACGTTGACATACCTCATTAGCACAGCAAGATGAACACCGAATTCATAGGAGTGGTTAAGTCAATGGTGGTAATATATAAAAGAAAGATTGCATATAAGGATATAGTACAGGAAGAAACAATTAGTTCGTAGAAAGAAAGATAGGAAGTGATTTTAATCTCATATTTTAAGGGAAGACAGACAGTGTATACACCTATGCCATTGTGATCAATTCTGAGCCATGTCACCAAGAGTCTCCAACCATTGGTTACGATAATCACGCGGACCCCAACCAAGTAGTCTGGATCTACCAACATGGCTCAGACTAGAAGTTAATAATTTCAATGACTGATGCCACGTTTTGATTTGGCCGTCCCTAACTTCCAGCCGTCTCCAACAATAGTCAGCATTGAGCGTCTTGGTAGTCGGTGTTCAGGCATACGTAGCACGTGGCCAAATCATATTAGTCGATGAAGATTTATAACCTCATCGACTGATTTAACATCATTACCTAATATCCTGTGTCTAACCTCACTATTACTTACCCGGTAATCCCCGCAGATGTGAGCTATATTTCTAAGACATCTGTGATCAAATACTAGTAACTTACGAGTATCTTCTACTCTTAATGGCCACGCTTCGCAGCTGTGAAGTAAAACAGAACGAACTGCTGCACATTATATTCATCCCTTAATTGATAGACGGATATCTCGCCTTCGTCATAGGTGACGTAAGTTGACAAAAGTCAAACGACCTTTTTGAATCCATGCAGTGATTTGGTCAAAAACCAAACCATTATGATCAGACTTCAAAGATAAATGAAGTTATCGACGTGTTCGACTACTTCATTCCCTATCCTTAGTTCATATCTGCTGCATCAAACGTTGAAGGTGATCCAAGTTTCGGGATAAAAAATAACACCAACTACTTATATCAACAGTATCAGCTCTATTTGGAGAATCATTCACTAATGACAGAAAGTTTGGTGCCTGTCGTTTCAAATAGTGGCAACTGTGTGCTTTCAAAGTGTTTCTGTTGAGGTGTCGATGACTTGACTTCATCGATTCAGAATGACATGCTCCAAATTATCCCCGTCTCTACTTGTTATAACCGCAATAAACAGCTACTTAAAACAGGAAAACACTGAAGTTTATACGATGCCATGATGACTACAAAGGCTAACAGCAAATGAAAATTCTATTCACCCTTCACAAATGTGATAACCACTCTAACCAAAATACACTCATTTATGTATAAATTTGACTGGCGTCTGTATGTGGAAATGTCATTTTATTAGAAAAATCCTATTCCGATTGGCAGCCGTTATATCTTCTGATATTAGTTCTTTGGACACTTGTGTCAGTAATTTGATTTCATTAATGGTTATCACTTGGCCGTATTGTATCAGCGCATATCATCTATCGATGAAAATTGCATTCACTCATCTAAATAGTGAGTAAAATCACTTAACATGCTACCACTTAACTGGTATATTTTACTATTATTGTTAAGTTTATACATATTACTGCTCGAATAAATAAACTCATTCACCAGGTAATTGGGTGTGGGCCACACTAGTTGTGAGGGCTAATGGTACCTCTTGCTATCCCAAGTAATTGAGGCGGGGTTCGAACGCGGGACTTTGTGGTTGTTGGAGATGGCTAGATCCCCAGAACTTACTTGATAAGTGTCTCATTTTTGTAATTTTATTTTGGAAATTTCAATTTCTTGTTTTCACGCCAAAAGCACCCATTTTCACCTTTATATCGTATTTCCCAGTTGGGAGGACCTTAAATGTCATTGGTTCGTTGTCTCTCTCAATATGTTATTTTGTAACGTTTCCCAAAGACATTTTTATGCTGTATATATACGCTTGAGTTGTGCCTGTTTTTGTTCGTGCTTCTGGCTGCTTATGGAATCCATTTTCGCTCTTCTGAGCCTGAACTTCTCTCTCTAGTTAGCGGGACTGGGACTCATCGGAATAGTTAGCTTATTTGGTCATTGTATCTCTGAGTCTTCGTTCCGTCCTCAGATTTAGGTGAACTCTTAATCTCTTCAAACATAGCGGTGATCGAAACTAGAATGTCTTAACCACTAAACAACTGCTCATCTTAGTGTAGAGCCATGTTAGGAAACTAATTGTGAAGAGATGTTTCACTCTATTCGTTTGTTACTACATATCGAAATTTAAGTTTTCGCTTTTCTGAAATTCTTAACTTATTCAAATCATAATAATTTGACCCATGGCCTCAATGGCGCAGGTGTATCCACTCTTTGTGTTCTCCCAAATTCTAATTTTCTGAGTCCTTCATGTCCTGTTTTTCTCTTTACAAATTTATTTCACTGGATTATACTCTTTAAATAACATCTTCAAACCCTAATCTTTCCGATTACTGCTTATACTCTTACTACCTTTACCACTACGGGATTTGAATCGACAACTGCATCTCTGTGCTAATGTGGTATGGCAAGTCGAACTGATGTACGTACGTACGAAGTTGTTACTGACTGATTGACCATGACCTCATTAGGTTTCTCAACAAAAAACGTTTTGTAGGCTATCATGTCAGTGAATTTCCAACTGTAATATGAGGAATATTATCGATGGTTCCATTTTATCCATTGCTGAAGTAGTCTAATTTTTAAACATAACTATTCTCCATCTACAAAATTTTAAACAGATAATTAGTAATATTTTTAACTCTTATTACTCTAGACCGAATACAAGTGATTGTTAAACTTATTTGTTCATTTCTATGTTATTGGGTACTTCAATACCATAGAATGCTATAAGTTGAAATCTCTTTTATAATTCATTGGTATTTATGTAAGTATTTTGTATCTTTAATTTAGATTCATGAAAATGAAGATGATTTAGGCCGTGGTGGACATGAGCTCAGTAAAGTAACTGGTAATGCTGGTGGCCGTCTAGCTTGTGGCGTTATCGGTTTAGCTGCTGAGTAGAGTTGTAGATTTATGTTTTTACATTTTTAACGCCTATTCTTCCTGTGAAACAGTATGGTCATTATTGTCAAGAAAGGAAATTTTGTGTTCTAAATGATTGAAAAATAAAGTCATTAAATATAATTGATTTATTCTTTCTGTATCTACTGGACACGATTTTTCTAACGGAGTTGTCAGTCAGTCAGCTACAAAGTAAGACCAGGCACATATGTGCATTGGTCCACGTTGACATACCTCATTAGCACAGCAAGATGAACACCGAATTCATAGGAGTGGTTAAGTCAATGGTGGTAATATATAAAAGAAAGATTGCATATAAGGATATAGTACAGGAAGAAACAATTAGTTCGTAGAAAGAAAGATAGGAAGTGATTTTAATCTCATATTTTAAGGGAAGACAGACAGTGTATACACCTATGCCATTGTGATCAATTCTGAGCCATGTCACCAAGAGTCTCCAACCATTGGTTACGATAATCACGCGGACCCCAACCAAGTAGTCTGGATCTACCAACATGGCTCAGACTAGAAGTTAATAATTTCAATGACTGATGCCACGTTTTGATTTGGCCGTCCCTAACTTCCAGCCGTCTCCAACAATAGTCAGCATTGAGCGTCTTGGTAGTCGGTGTTCAGGCATACGTAGCACGTGGCCAAATCATATTAGTCGATGAAGATTTATAACCTCATCGACTGATTTAACATCATTACCTAATATCCTGTGTCTAACCTCACTATTACTTACCCGGTAATCCCCGCAGATGTGAGCTATATTTCTAAGACATCTGTGATCAAATACTAGTAACTTACGAGTATCTTCTACTCTTAATGGCCACGCTTCGCAGCTGTGAAGTAAAACAGAACGAACTGCTGCACATTATATTCATCCCTTAATTGATAGACGGATATCTCGCCTTCGTCATAGGTGACGTAAGTTGACAAAAGTCAAACGACCTTTTTGAATCCATGCAGTGATTTGGTCAAAAACCAAACCATTATGATCAGACTTCAAAGATAAATGAAGTTATCGACGTGTTCGACTACTTCATTCCCTATCCTTAGTTCATATCTGCTGCATCAAACGTTGAAGGTGATCCAAGTTTCGGGATAAAAAATAACACCAACTACTTATATCAACAGTATCAGCTCTATTTGGAGAATCATTCACTAATGACAGAAAGTTTGGTGCCTGTCGTTTCAAATAGTGGCAACTGTGTGCTTTCAAAGTGTTTCTGTTGAGGTGTCGATGACTTGACTTCATCGATTCAGAATGACATGCTCCAAATTATCCCCGTCTCTACTTGTTATAACCGCAATAAACAGCTACTTAAAACAGGAAAACACTGAAGTTTATACGATGCCATGATGACTACAAAGGCTAACAGCAAATGAAAATTCTATTCACCCTTCACAAATGTGATAACCACTCTAACCAAAATACACTCATTTATGTATAAATTTGACTGGCGTCTGTATGTGGAAATGTCATTTTATTAGAAAAATCCTATTCCGATTGGCAGCCGTTATATCTTCTGATATTAGTTCTTTGGACACTTGTGTCAGTAATTTGATTTCATTAATGGTTATCACTTGGCCGTATTGTATCAGCGCATATCATCTATCGATGAAAATTGCATTCACTCATCTAAATAGTGAGTAAAATCACTTAACATGCTACCACTTAACTGGTATATTTTACTATTATTGTTAAGTTTATACATATTACTGCTCGAATAAATAAACTCATTCACCAGGTAATTGGGTGTGGGCCACACTAGTTGTGAGGGCTAATGGTACCTCTTGCTATCCCAAGTAATTGAGGCGGGGTTCGAACGCGGGACTTTGTGGTTGTTGGAGATGGCTAGATCCCCAGAACTTACTTGATAAGTGTCTCATTTTTGTAATTTTATTTTGGAAATTTCAATTTCTTGTTTTCACGCCAAAAGCACCC